GGGGGCAGGGTAGGAGCTTAGGGTCGGGCGGGCGCCCGCTCCCAGCCCAGCCCCACACACGGCCCCGAGGAGACGCGAGCAGGGGCGTGAGGAAGAGCCCAGCCGTGCGCTGGAGGCAGAGGAGCCCTGGGCAAGCGGGCGCTTTGAAAACTGCAACTGTCACGTCCGTGTTTCACCGGGGAGAATCCGGGAACTACAGGCCAGTCGGCCTCACTGCAGGCCCGGGGAAATCATGGAGGGGTCCTCACGGAATCCATCGCGAAGCCCTTGGAAGAGGGGACAGTGACCAGGAACAGGCAGCAGGGATCCCCCAAGCACAAGATCAGCGTCTATGACAAAGTAACTGGCTCTGTGGGCAGGGTGAAGGCGGTGGGTGGGATAGACCTTGACTTCAGCAAGGCTTTTGATACGGTCTCCACCATACACTTGCCAGCAAGCTGAGGGAGTCTGGATTGGCTAACCGGACGGGAAGGCGGGGAGATTGTTGGGCCAATGGGCAGTGATCAACGGCTCCAAGTCCGGTTGGTCGGTTTCTAGCGAAGTGCCCCAAGGTTCGGATCTAGGGCCGGGTTGTTCATCATCTTTATTAATGCCCTGGCCGAGGGGATGGGTCGCAGCCTCAGCGAGTTCACGGCTGACACTAAGCTGGGAGGGGTCCACACGCTGGGGGGCAGGGAAGGGTCCAGAGGGACCTGGACAGGTTAGAAGATTGGGCCAAAAGAAATCTGATGAGGTTCAACACGAAGGGCAGAGTCCTGCCCTGGGGACAGGCTGTTCTCAGTGGTCAATGGCAGGACGAGGCGCAAGGGGCTCACGGTGCAGTGCAGGAGATCTAGGTTGGATATTAGGAAAAACGATTTCCCTAGGCGGGTGGGGAAGCGCTGGGCTGGGTTCCCTGGGGAGGGGGTGGAATCTCCATCCCTAGAGGTGTTAAAAGTCCCGGCTTGACCAAGCCCTGGCCGGGGTGATTGAGTTGGGCTGGTCCTGCTTTGGGCAGGGGCTGGACTCAGTGACTCCTGAGCTCTCTGCCAGCCATCACCTTGCAGAGCCTGCAGCCTTTCCCCATGGGTTGGGGGAACAAGGGACAAGGGCGGGACTGAAATACCTGAGGACTTACCCACCACAGGTGTGTCTGGTCCCAGTCCTGCCCGCCCAGCGGCACCTTCGGCTGCAAGCGACCCATGAACACCCCGTGAGCAAGGGCTCCAGCTGCCCCTAGGCCCTCGATGACACCGAAATGAAGGAGAACCAGTCGCTAAGGGGCCGGGTACCCTCCCCCGCCACTGTGCAGACGAGGTGCAAACCGGGCAGACAGCTGCTGGGGATCCCTTGGAGCGTGTGGGTATCTCAGTGCTCTGGAGACTAACGCCGAGCCCCGCTGCCCGCTGAGCAGTGTGGGCACAGGGGCAGCTCTGTGGTGGGTGGGTCCAGCTGCCACCTGGGACAGGCTCCTCCCTCCCTCGGTGACCTGGAGAGGCGGTTGTCAGCCCTCGGGTGGCTATGGGGCCCCATGTCCGCTGTGAAGTGCTGTTCCCTCGCTTCTGTGCTGCTGCCGGCACAGTGCTGCCT